GCATATTTGGCGTTTACAAGTACAGCTGACCCTGGGACAACATGGGTTTGAACAGGGTGGGTCCACTTAACACTTTCTTCCCCCCAAAATGTATCGACTTCCATATCCCTGTGTTTCACATCCACCGATGCAGAGAGCCAGTTGTATGTATTGTTAAGCCATTTTACATATAAGGGCCATAAACATCTGAGGGTTTTGGTATCCATGGGGGTTCCTGGAACCAGTCTCCTATGGATACCAAGGGACTGTAGTTAAGGTTTTGGGGAGTCAAAAATTACGCATGGATTTTCGGTGGCTTGGGGTTGGCAGCCCTAATCCTGTGTTCAAAGGTCAACTCCATACATCAAAGCATGAGCTTCTTGATGAGGGAAAGGAGACAATTGTAAATTTGTTTTTGTCCTAAAGGCCATATTTACTGAAAACATTGTGCCACACATGGTTCCAAACATTTCACTCAAGTTAATTATAATCACCTGTGGGTAAGTACCAGTTTATCACCTTTATAGACAAAGAAGCACAAATCACAGCAAATGCAGCCAATGCTCACCCTAACCCTCAAGTTCTGGTAGAGAGGAAGGAGAGGGATTCAAGAGTGAGGGAGTGCAGCAATGACAAATGGAGGTCAAGTTAAGAGCTGAAAAATGCCCACTGTGTTTGGCCATTGGGTCATTGGTTAGTTTAGCAAGTGCAATTTTAGTGGAAAGGTGTGTGTGCATGTCAGATTAAGATGATTTTAGGAAAGTATGGGAGGTGAAAGAATTGAGTCTAGAAAGTTTATAAAAGGGAGCAGAAAGTTCATGGTGGTTTGGACAGTGGGGCACTGGAGTCAGACCTGGACTTGAACTCTGCCACTGCTGTATGATGCTGAGGACACTGTCCAACAAAGCCTCTCCTCATTCTTAAAATGGGATTAATGCCTATTTCACAGGGTTATTGTGAGGATTAATTAAATTTATGTTTGTGAAGTATATGGAACACAGGTACTCCACAAAATGGAATTATTAGGTTGAGGGGAGGGTTTGTTTTTAAAGATGAGAATGTTTATAGGTTGAGATGCTACATCAAAAGAGGTTGAAAGTGAAAGGGTCAATACTGGTAGGAAAGGGCGGTCTGGTTTCTCAGTGAATCCTGTTGGGTCTAGTGCTTACAGCACTTCCAAAGTTAGGCTAGAGAAGTGACACCTACAGGATTTCCATCGGGAGGAGCTTAGAAACGATCTCAGAAAGTGGGTGCTGATGCTAATTTTTGCTTTAAAGCTAGGTATGCCTATCAAGCATTCTGTCCCTTTTTCTGAAGGAATGGGAGTGGGGGTGATTAGCAAAAGGGCTGATGGCGATTATGGTATGTTCAAGCCTTTACAAACCGCCTTTATTTTATTTTTTAAAATATATATTCTATTGATTTTTTCAGAGAGGAAGGGAGAGGGATAGAGAGTTAGAGAGAAGCATCGATCAGCTGCCTCCTGCACACTCCCTACTGGGGATGTGCCTGCAACCAAGGTACATGCCCTTGACCGGAATCGAACCTGGGACCCTTGAGTCCTCAAGCCGACGCTCTATCCACTGAACCAAACCAGTTAGGGCTACAAACCGCCTTTAGAAGTCTCAGCGCAGCCCAGGCCGGGTGTTCAGTTGGTTAGAGCATCGTTCCCAAGCCCTACAGGGGTGTGTGTCTGTCTCTTGTCTCTGTTTCTGTCTCTCTGTCTCTGTCTCTCTTTAAAATAAATAGATAAAATTTAAAAATATTGGTGCAGATAACTGAAGGCTTTCAGGCGGTTCCGCACGTGTGCGTGCCCAAGGCTAAGCGCAGGACTTCAAAACGTGTGCCTGCCTCCCCTCCCCCACTGGAGGAAGACTTGGCGGGGCCCCTGCACATGCGCGAACGCAGCCCCCCTCCCCCTCCCCGTGTCTCCTGGCAACAGGACTCCAGTCTTGGCCTTGGCACTGCGGAGGTCGCAATGGACCAGCCAGATAAGGCGGTCACTTCTACCCCAGTAAGGGAAGACTTGGGGCATGGCGGTTCAGTGGTCCTGGCCTCGGTACTGCCTACTGCCGTTCCCCTCTGAAGCGCCCAACTACGGGTCCCCTTCGCCCCTCTCTCCCGCCAAAATGCCACCTCTAGTCCCAGGCCTTTGCACCCCTCCTGTTCTATCTCCTCTCTCTCTTCTTGCCACCTTGTAGTCCTTTCTTCTGACCTTTGAGTTCTACTTCATTTTATTTCCTCTGCCCTTGCTACTCCTTCATCCTCCCGATTGCCCTTTGTTATCTGTATCTTCCCTCTTCTTCCCTACTACTAATGCTTTAATAGAGTGATTAGATTTCTTTCATTTTCCTCTAACGAGAGAATGTTTCTGTTGTTGTTTTCAGTCTATGAACACGTTTTTGAGTTTAGTATTTATAAAATATTTTAAACTACCTTTGTTTAGTTTTTAAATTTGGGCTAAGGATGTTTAGCCTATCTTTTGTAAAGTGATTCACCCTAAAGCGAATTTGAAGTGGTAGATGGGTGGAGTTTAGATCACCTGCCTTGAGCAAAACAAAGCAGCAGCTGCCAGTCACTTTCTTTTGGATATATATCATGTTTACTTTTCTCTTGTCCTTCCCAACTCATTTTCCTGGCCCAGGTAGAGGTAGGAGACCTGTCTTGACATGCCTGGGAAAGTTCGATTTCTGTGACTATAAATGTGCAACAGAGAACTTTCAATATAAATCTAACAAAGGCAATAGATCAGAAGAAATTCAGATTAGTGTGTATGAAACAAGGCCTTTCTTAGAGAAGTGCACATATTACATAGTAAAACTAAAGCCAGGGGTACTCATAAGTAGAATAGATATAAATTGCTAGACAGGAACAATGAATTATATCAGTTTTGCTAATTTGATTGTTTATTATTTTTAATGTATTGTTGTTTGAGATAACTGATATTTTGTACTAATAACAAAAACATTATAAGTAAAAGTAGAAATCAATATTTTAATGATTTTACTTAGTGGGAATAACACAGAAGAAAACACTGAACAATTGTGTTAACAGTGAAGCTGAATCAATGTGGAAAAATAAAAGGGTATAGAGTACTTATTATGGAAGACAAGAGTGTCCTTGGAAACTGAAGAATACCAAAATAATCTGCTTCTTAACTTGGCAGATGAGTTGTTAAAAATAAAAGCTATCATTTATTATTGAGCACTGGTTGTGGGTGCAAGTATTAATATGTACAACTAGAGGTCCGGTGCACAGAATTCGTGCATGGGGATAAGGGGAATGGTCCCTGAACCCGGCATGAACCCTCTTGCAATCCGGGATCGGGCCTAAACTGGCAGTCGGATATCCCTCTTGCAATCCGGGACCACTGACTCCCAACTGCTTGCCTGCCTGCCTGCCTCCCTGATCGCCCCTAACCATTCGCCTGCCTGCCTGATTGCCCCTAACTGCTCTGCCTGCCTGCCTGATCGCCCTTAACTGCTCACCTGCCTGCCTGATCACCCCTAACCCTCTCTGCCTTGGCCCCTGCCACCCTGGCTTAGTCCATTATGACGTCCAGAAGGTCGTTTGGCTGTCTGGTCTAATTAACATATTACGCTTTTATTATTATAGATGCCTTATGCTCGTGCCAACCCCTGATGTCTTATTTTTTTATTTAAATTCTTTATTGTTGAAAGTATTACATATGCCTCCTTTTTCCCCCATTGACCTCTCCCTAGCCGCTCCCACTCCCCAGCACATGCCCTCACCCCCCTACTGTCTATGTCCATCCCTGATGCCTTATTTTTATCCTCCTAAGAGGAAGTGTGGGCTCATAAGGGCCAAAGTAATTTGCCTAGTGCTCTTTAGCTAGTTAGTGGCAGAGCTGGAGTTCAAGCCCAAGTTTGTCTGGCTCCTCTATCACTCTGACTCTTCAGTGTGACAGCTAGCTGGACAAGCTGAGAGAACTAGCTATATCATATTTATGATATATATTTTTTTAATGTATGTGAACCTAGGAAATAGAAATTGGCAATGTTTGCCATATCTCCAGGAATTTGTATCTCAATATCACATTAATCTGATGACTACACATTTTGACCTTGAATTTCCAGCACAAACACCTGAGCCACACATATTTTTTTAGGGTAAAACATTCAAGCAGTTTTTATTCATTAATACTCACAAATGCACATAGCAGCTTCATTAGAGATTTCAATTTTCCTCTTCAGTTTGAATGTGGAGTACTAGGAGAGCCCTTTGCATGTCAGGGTACAGGAAGCAGAGATTAATCCCTGCATTGCTGCCTACATTTACCTGCTGGAAATAAAAATTAGTGGAAATGATCGTCACATCTATTTTCTCTCTTCCTTTTGAATGGACACAACATAGCAACAGACCTGAAATTACAGTCACCAAACAAACTCAAGATAACTGTTCACTTTCATTGACAAATACAGCGCTGAGGGCATTGTCTACGAATTGGGACCTCATCAAAGAGGAAGGGGTGGAAGCTCATTTCCTTATTTCTTTCTTTTAAATTTAGGTTTTCTAATGCCTCTAAAACACCTAAGGGAATAATATTACACAGCTCTTGGCATCAAAATGTGCCATGTCCCCCAGGTTATCCTCATCTGAGGATGAGCTCTCTTTACCCACTAAAGTAGACAGAAGGACTGAACCAGAAATCTTAATAACAATTACAATAATACAATTTTGATTTACATAACTCCTTTCTTTCCAAGAACACCAAATTTTGTCACATCTAATTATCCTTATGGCACCTCTGTCACATGGGGATGTTTATTGTTCTAATTTTCCCAAAGGGAATTTAGATATTTAAAAAGCACTTAAAATAATAAAATAGCAATTTAAAGAACTATTACAGGCAAAATGGATAACAGTGTTTTTATTTGAATTCAGACTGATAAATTTGGTGCAGGTATTAACTAATTTAAGTAAATATTTTATAAGTTATGTCTGACTTCCAGGGATCACCTCTCAAATGAATAAGCATATTTTATGTTTGTTAATAGAAACCAATCCGGAAGCGATCATCTTTTGAAAGAGAAGGATGGTGGAGAGTAGCGTTAACAGTATGTACATTTTCATTCATATTATTCTTATTCCCATTAACATTTGATTAAGTCAGTCTTACCGTTTAAATCACTAACAATTCGTAAGAAAACAGTAGGCTTTATTTCATCCTTATAATTTTAGCATCAGCATGTGAATGAGAAACTAAAATTTCAATTTAAAAGCTTGGAAAAGTAAATCAACTCTAGAAATCTATTCGTGTCACAAAATATCGAGGTAAGATCCACCTAGTTTATGAACTTGGTAAGAGGACACAAGAAAGATAAGGCATACATTCCTGAGAGGTTTTGGGGTTTCAGTTCTTATCTTACTTAGCACAGAGCCTATGATAACTTTTATTAGTTAACATGGTCAGCAGATGAAAGCAAGGTAGTAAAATGACCAGAAGATCCCCCTATAGGAGACGACATTTCTATATTGCAGAAATGTTTCCCATCCACACCCTGCAATAACAGAAGGGCCCCATGGGCCAAAGCCTTCTTGGAATTGAACTCATTGTAACAGTGGATCTGAGCCGAGTGCTCAGTGGAAAGATGGACACAAAAGCAGCAGTGACTAACCCTTCAGGTTTGGCCGTGTAGCTACATTGCGGTTGGGATTTGAAAGTACCCAACCCCTTATTGGACTAATTAGACAAAATGCTCTGCCAATTCGTCCTCCGCCTCCTGTTATTATCCTGTAGCTTCCCATTTAAGGGCTAGACAGAAGCATGTAGCATCTACGAAGCAGAAGTAGGAGAACGTTTATTTAGCCGAGAAACTAAATTTCAGGTCTCACTAGAGGCCTGAAATTTATAACCAAGTTGAATCTCGAGTTTAAGTATCTGTGAAGCGACTTTTTAAGAAAAAACTTCAACGATAGCCATAACCCATTGGCTATTACTCAGCAGCTGTCTCAGAAAGGAAATAACCATGATTCTCTTAAACTATTGTTCTGCCCAGAGTGTTTACTGTATTTTAATAGAATTTCATTAAACTGTAAAACTAAGAGATGCTGCTTAGGCATGACCCTTTCAAGAATGCTGCTGTTGGAGATGTTGCTGGTTTACACACTGATGTGAAAAACGATGTCAATTTTCCACAGAATACTCCTATCCCTGGCACTTACCACTTGAAAACGTTTATTGAAGAATCCCTATTAAATCCAGTGGCAGCAACTTACAATTTTAAAAATGAAGGAAGGAAAAAACCACCTCTTGTGCAAAGAAACAATCCAGTAGTAACGGACCTTCCCCCGTACATGCCTCCCGGCTTCTTGGACTTGTTGAAGAAGCAAGCAGCCACTTACTCATTTAAAGACCAACCGAGGTCAAGCCCCAGCTCCTTGGTTTACAAAGATCAGGTAAAGCCCTACTAGCAGCTGGGTTTTTGTGGGAAAGCTACCAAGAGCCCCGAGGAAAATAGTCTATATAACTTCGAGTGTATCTCCCCAGGGACAAAGTAACAATCTTTAGGATGCCTTATTTTCTGCAGAAATCAAACAAGGGCTGCCTAATTTGCAAATATGTCCTGCAAGATTTTTGAGGCCTCCTTAACCTAAGGAGAGGACTGGGGAGGGGGGTCTGGCGGAGGATTGTTCTCTCTGGAGGGAATCTTGGCAGGATTCCCCCAACTGGGGGAGCCTCTGGGATCTTATCTGTGGTTGGCCCATGCTTCTGGTCTTTTCAAGCAGTTTACACAGTGTACTCTTTTTTTTAAATAAAGATTAAAAAATATATTTTTATTGATTTCAGAGAGGAAGGGAGAGGGAGAGAGAGACAGAAACATCAATGATGAGAGAGAATCATTGATTTGGCTGCCTCCTGCACCCCCCACACTGGGGATATAGCCCACAACCTGACATGTGCCCTGACGGGGAATCGAACCGTGACCTCCTGGTTTACAGGTCGACGCTTAATCATTGAGCCATGCCGGCCGGACTGTACTCTCTTCCTTTAAAAAGAAAACTCTGCCTTTCAGTGAGTGAGTGCCCTTTTTAGAGCGTGAACATAACCATATGCCACAGGGAAGCTTTTCCCAAAATTTCTTGTAGAAATGAGCACTGGGGTACCAGGAAGGTAAGATTCTACTCTCAGGTCCACCAGTTCATTCATACATCGATAATAATTGCTATGCTTATGGCTCTGTGCCAGGCTCTGTGAATGGAAGATGTCCCTGACTTGCAAATATTTAAGTAACAATGCAAGAGCAAATATATCAAATGCTGAGATAAATCATCAGTTTCCTGATGATGATAAATAGTGTAGCAGGAAATCCCAGAGGAGAGTTCAGTGTAGGCTAGATTGAAAAGTTGGAAGGTTTCCTGGATGAAGTAGAACTCAAACTAGACCTTGAATAATACATGGCACTTATGTGGCTCTTAATAGTTTACTGTGAACTTCTACATATATTCTATTAGCAGTTCTTCCCAGGCATTCTGAAATAGGCAGAACAGATGTTAGCTCCATTTTACATGCACATAAACTGAGGTGAATAGAGACTAAGTAACTTGTTCAGTGGCAGAGGAGTACTTTTAACTGAGGGCTTCTGATCCCCAATTTGGCGCTCTTTCCAACTACCTTGGGCCTCTGGCCATGAATAAGGGGCAGGGTTTGGATGGGTGGAACCCAAGAGCTGTGTCTCCAGGGAGGGGCACAGCACTGTCAAGGCCTCTTCCAAGGACTGAGTTGTGACTTGGACTTTGTTACTTGGGACTTTGGGCCTTAATATCTCCCATTTATAAGGAAGCTAGTAATAGTATTAGTCTTCACAACCCTATCAGAGTGTTGCTGAGCAGAAATGCATTGTAACTGGAAGTTGAATTAAATACAGTGGTTGTAGCGATTATTAGGATGAACGAGAATTTTTCCCTGGGATGAGCGCATGTTGTACGCAACCTGTAAACCCATCTTATTGTTTTGCAAATTATAGCTTTGGAACAGGACAGAACCATAAAAGTTCACTGGGTAAGTCTTATCCTATTCACTTCAGTGGATGAATACAAACACTAAATTTTACTTAGTCTTTTATGGCTTGGTATCAGGTCACCATGCTTCATGTGAAATAATTTGGCCACATCCAGGACAAAACCATTCTTCCTTATTCACCACCACCATTTACTTCCCTTCTGCTTCATCTTGTCTTGCTTTTAGGGGTTTCTGAGGGTTGGTATTAGGCAAAATTTAAGGCTTTAAAAGACCAAAAGAATTTGGCTTACCCACAGGGGTGGACAAAACCTTCTGAAAACATATTTTTCCTGTTTCTTTTCTTTCTCCTCTCTCTCCTCACCTCCCACAAAGGATTGAGCTCCAGAAACTGGGAGAATTACATGTTTTCCTAATTTTCTGTTTCAAAGGTCTATGACAGTATGTTCACAGAAGGAGAGCTACCCAGATGTATCATTGTTTACTCACCAATAAAACTCATAATTCTGGTTTTTTTAATGGCAGAATTCAGTAAAATAATAATTCGAATAATTTGAGGTAGATATAGAATATATTATTATTACTTATTAAGATAGAACAACATTCTCTCAAGCTTCAGAATTTTTAATAGAATATTCACTTTATACCTCATTAAGGCTGTTTATTATTTGTAAGAAAGTTTTTACTATTTTTGTTCGAAAGCACGTAACTCAACTAGAGAACCTGTATCAAAGAATCCTATCATATACTAGAGGCCCAGTGCATGAAATTCATGCACTGTGGGGGAGGGGGGCGCTCAGCCTGGCCTGTGCCCTCTCTCAGTCTGGGAGCCCCGCGATTAATCACCCTGCAGAGGGAGGCCCCGCCCACTTACCGCAGAACCGCTTGCCAGGTAGCCAGGGCCTGCCTCTGAGGGGCTATCATGGGGCAATGGCAGGGCCCCCGACCAATCACATCACACCCTCCTTGGCGGGCCTGGTGCCAGTGGGTGTCATAGTGTGGTTGTCCAGACGGTTGTTCCGCTGTTTGGCCATTGAGTCAATTTGCATATTATGCTTTTATTATTATAGATATATTTGAATGTGTGTGTTTGTGTGTGGGTGTGTATGTGTATAAGGGGGTGGGGGTAGTAAAGGATAAAGGGGGCCAAATATATGGGGACAGAAGATTATTTGTCTATGGGTGGCGGGCACATAATACAATATACAGATTATATATCATAGAAATCTACACTTGAAACCTATATAATCCGTTTAATCAATGTCACTCCAATAAATTTAGTTGATAAAAAAGAGTATTTGAGATGGCCCTAAATTTTTTAAAATAAATTTTTCTTATCAGAGAATTAATACATTTTTATTGTAGAATTATACATACAAAAGTGGGACCATCTCTCTCCATATACACAGCTTGTGACCTGCTTCTCCCCAGTGTTGCTGTCATCCACTAACCCCAGGGTTACTCCCACTTATTTCTGGATGATTTTAACTCCCTTCTCTCCCTGCCTCCCTTGCCACTACTGTCATCATTTCAGTACACATGCAGATGACCTTCCAACAATCTCCCTTCTCAGATTCTTGAACTCTCCTCTACCTCAGCTCCTCACTCCTTGGATTTTTTCAAGACCAATAATTCCAACCCTGCATAATCTCAACTGCATGCACCCCACTCTGACCACTCCTAATGTTCAGCCTCACTCACTCTAGTGTCCCAACCCCCCTCCCCCCAATTTTTCTGTTCCCCACAATCTATAATCCATTGACCCTACTCGCAAAGCTTAAATCCCATAGTCATCAGAGTTACTCTCAGCATACGCCCTCAATTACCTTGCTCCTGATGGCGTATCTCACTTGTTTGTCAAAGCCACAAACCTGGGTGAATCTAACTCTCTGGGGACTTTGTACCTGCATCCATGTTTCGGAATGACTGGCCTCATTTTACAGTCTTCACCTCACATGGGCACTGGATGGACTTCCCTAGTCTGTTTACCTCCCACTCTCCTGGGTGGCTTTATTTCACATCTCTCCTTTCCAAATCCCTGACACCTCCACCTCAATCCTCCTCCTTATTTTTTCTTCTCAGCCTTTTTTTCAGGTTCAGCCCCTTCTCCCTGACCTCTTGTGGGAGTGCCCCAGGCCCCCAGACCTCTTCCTCCTCTACACTTGCTCCCTCTACACTCACTCCCCTGGTGATCTCATTTTAGTCTTTGAACACCATCCCTTTATGATCTCCAAATTATATCTCCTGCCCAGACTTCTCTCTTGAATTCCAGACTTGTATATCCAACTGCTTTTTTTTTTTTTTTTAACTTCTCTACTTATATGTCTAATTCAGGGTTTCTCAACTTTGGCGCGATTGACGTTTTGGAAGGAATAATTCTTTGTTGTGGGGAACTGTTCTGTGCTTTGTAGCATGTTTAGCAGCATTCCTGGAAAATTGATGCCATTAGCTAATTAGATGCCAATAGCAGTCCCCCTCTCAGTTGTAACAACGAAAACTGCCTCCAGACATTGCCAAATGTCCCCCGGGGCGGTACCCCCCTCCTGATTGGGAACCAATGGGTTTAAGTCTTTGCAATAGTGGGTGTGACCTCTGAGTGGTCGTTCTCAGAGTCAGCAGTTCTGTTGGGAACTGGCTTTATTCCAGACCTCCTCTTTTACTCCTCCCTCTCCCTCTCTTTCTGCCCGACTGGCCTCCTGGAAGCTTCCTGACTTGGCCACTCCCATCTCAGGGTCTTTGCACCGGATCTTGCCAGCTCATTGACCTTTGTTAGCTGTGTTTATAGCTGTGATAAAGATATCTCTGAAATCATGTTAATTTGAAAGTGCTCCACGGTACCACCAAAGGGATTTTTTTATTTTTTATTTTTTATTTTTTTATTTTTATTGCTTAAAGTATTACAAAGGGTATTACATATGTGTCCATTTTATCCCCCCGCCCTAGACAGTCCCCTAGCCTCCCCTATCCCCCAAACCAAAGGGATTTTCAACAGGATGGTTTTTCATTGAGCAAGGTATTAACTGGGCTGGCAAGTGCTACTGTAAGGAACTCAAGACTTAAATGTTGAGATAATAAAGAGCAAAGCATAGGTAAGATGGAGCAATTCATTGTACCAACACCATTTAAATTAAAAAAGTGACCCTAAAAATGGGCTCATTTAGCAGATATTTTTGAAACTGAATTTTCAAAGAACAAGTGTCACATGCAAATATGTCAAGAAAGTGGCAAATAAAAATGGACTTTGAAAGATGGTTACAGAAAATTTATCTCAGGGATTGGGACCCATGTAATTCTTAGTTCATTTGGAGCTGATAAAGACTCTAAGGTACTGGTAAATTTACAAATAATATCAGTGCTATCTGCTTTATTTCCACTTTTGTTTACCTTGCCTCCTTAACTCTTTCCTGCTTAAGCCTTTTCCGCTGAGATGAAGCTCACCATCTCAGCTCCAAGGATGTCAGGAGTACATAGCAGTGTTTGAATAGAATATCTCCTAGGATAAACCAAATAGTCTTAAGTGACTCTACAAGGTTGTACAGTATATGATTTTGTCTATATGGAAGACTGAATAAAATCAGATATTGGATAACCTAAAAAAACAAAAAGAACAATATAATTGGTATCATTAAGCAGGCTTCTTTTTGAGAAGGTCCTATATTGTTTTTCTCTCATTCCATAAAGAAGTCTGAGCAGTGAGTCAGTGATACTTCCATACGACACAAAAGACTTTACTTCTCAGAGAAAAGATACACTTGAATTTCTGCCAATAGTACCTACAAAGTATTGCACCTGCCAGCCCTTCGGCTGCATTCACCTTATGATCATTCCGACAGGGCTTGAACACATCGAAAAAATCTGTTTCCTTCTGTCCCACCTATTTATGGATTTGGTTCTCAAAATGTTGTCATACCAAGAGCCTAATAAGTAGGGTTGGATTTTTCCACTTATTCTGACCTTGATGGTGTTGGTACAACAGAACTGAATGAAGTATCCACACTAATATCATTCTGTCATATTGTATGGCTACAAGCTATTGCAAGATTTCTGAGTGCCTAATCTACATGGACTGAAACATTAACTAGAATCAGGTATTTTTCTGAGCACATTTTCTAGATTCTTTGTGCCTCATTACAAATGAAGAAGTGACATGCATCTGTAGGAATTAGGAAAATACATATGTATATTAAAAATCTCCAAGGACAGTGGAGCCACTCAGAATAGTTTGCAATAATGTGCAGAGAAACAATCTTTTACATAAGGCAGCTGACTATTCACAACTTTATGGAAAAAAAGCCCTCTCTCAGTAATATTAAATAGCAAAGAATGGCCAAGCCAAGTAAAGTAAGACAAATACAGAAGTTACAGGGAACCAATATTCCTTTCTAATCTAGTACTGCCTGAGTTTTTCCATAAGTACTTTTTTTATAGAAACTTATAAACAGCTGTTTAAGGGTGTTTTTTTTTCTTCTTCACTTTTCAATTCTCTTTCTTCTTCTGAGTATGTGTGTATATGTACATAAGAGAGTAAGCGAGCATGCGAGAGGAAGCATATAAAGGATTACATGCATTATTTAAAGTAAATAGAAAGCAAACACCCATATAACCATCATCAAAGTCAAGAAATAGGATGTTGCAGCCCCAAAAGCCCCCTGCTTAAAATACATTTTCCTGCTTCCACACTAGAATAATAAATAATACCCTTGTTTCCTGGGTGTTTATTTAATGTCAAGTGAACAATGAACAAGGCACAGGTGCATCAGGACAATGTGTGCATTTTATCATAAAATTTGTATTTACTGCTATTGTCAGTGTATCAACAACAGCTGCCTATACACTCAAAATGGGTACTAATATGTGAATGAAAGCAACAGGGTGAGCTGTATTATCTGAGCTTCCATGGGGCATAGAATGCCAGCATATGGATGCCTTATTCTGAAGGCCTGGGGTGGGGGTGGGGGGTGGAGGGGATGGGCAGCGGGGGCAAGCTAGAAGAGGTCAGTGGGGACATATGTAATACTTTCAACAATAAAGATTTAAAGATAAAATTTAAAAAGGCAGCATTGCATTTTAAAATCTGATTTTAAAATAATAGAGGGTAGGGAGTAGATTGCTCACTTTGGGAAGGATTCTTCCTAGGATTTTATAATATAATTGCTTCCTACCAGCTCCTTCAATAGGAGCTCTGGAGGTTGGGTCAGTCTTCCTGGCTCCTCATTCGGCTTCTTCCTCTCCTTCCCTTCCTTTACATATCCCAAGCTCTGTGCTTACCAGGTCCTTCTACTCCCTTACTCATGCACCTCTGAGCTAAAATCCATAACCCAGGGATGATGCAGCTACCAGGTAGTTTTGCAGCAAGTTTGACAATGGGCAGAGAGACAGTCTCTTCTGCAATGTTTCTCCTTAGAATACCTTCCTGGCTCCCCTCTAGGAAGTTCCTCTTCCTTAAAACCCTCAAATCTCTCTGTCTTTTACCACCTTCAGATCACCCAGTTGGGTTTATTTATCTCCCCCAGTTTTACAGATGTATAATTGACAAAATTATATGTATTTGAGGTTACAACATGATGATTTGATTGTGAATATATTGTGAAATGGTTGCCACAATCAAGTTGATTACCATATCCATCACCTAACATTGTTATCTTTATGTGTATGGATGAGAACATATAAGCTCTATTCTCTTAGCAAGTTTCAAGTATACGAATACAGTATTATTAACTATTGTTACCATGCTGTGCCTTGTATCCCCAGAACTTATTTAGCTTATAACTGAAATTTTGTACCAACCCCCCATCTCAACCCCAGCCCCGGGCAACCACCATTCTGCCCCCCGCACCCCCCCCCCCCCGCCCCCAGCAGGCAACCACCATTCTATTCCTTCAGGAGTACAGGCTTTCTAGTCACGAGTACAGGCTTTCTAGTACAGGCTTTCTGGATTCCACATATAAGTGATACAAAACAGTATTTGTCTTTCTCTGTCTGGCTTATTTCACTTAGCATTATGCATGTTGTTGCAAAAGGCAGGATTTCCTTCCTTTTTTTATGCTGAATTATCGAAATATATTTTTCAGTTATTTATATATCACATTTTCTTTTCCATTCATGCATCAAGGAACACTTAGGTTGTTTACATAGCTTAGCCATTGTGAATAATGCTGCACTGAGCGTGGGAGTTCAGATGTCTCTGGCAGATACTGATTTTGTTTCCTTTGGATAGATACTCCGAAGTGGAATTGCAAGATCGTATGGTAGTTCTAGTTCTAATATTTCAAGGAACCTTTTTTTCATAATGTCTGTACCATTTTACATTTCCACCAACAGTGCACAAGGGTTCCCTTTTCTCTACACCCTCACCAATACTAGTTATCGCTTGTCTTTTTTATAATAGCTATCCTAACAGTTGTGAGGCGACATCACATTGTGGTTTTGATTTGCATTCCTTGATGATTAGTGGTGTTTCAGCATCTTTTCATGTAACTGTTGGGTATTTGTATGGTTTTCTTTGAAAAAAATACCTATTCAGGTCTTTTGCCCAATTTAATCGGATTATTTTTTGGTTATTGGGTTGTTTGAGTTCCTTATATATTTTAGACATTAAAACCTTATCAGATGCATGGTTTGTATCTACTTTCTCCCATTGCTTACGTTGCCTTTTTACTTTGTTGATTGTTTATGCAGAAGCTTGGCTGTGCAGAAGCTTTTCAGTTTGATGTCTTCCTACTGCTTTATTTTTGCTTTTGATGCATTAGCATTATTTTCCTCTTTTTAGTGTCATATTAAAAAAAATTATTGCTAAGACTAATGTCAAAGAGTTTTCCCTATGTTTTCTTCTAGGAGTTTAGTGGCTTCAAGTTTTACACTTAAGTATTCAGTCCTTCTTGAGTCAGTTTTTATGAGTGATATAAGATAGGAATTTAATTTTATTCTTTTACATGAGGATATCCTGTTTTCCCACTACAATTTATTGAAGAGACTATTCTTTCCCACATGGTGAATTCTCGGTGCCCTTGCCAAGATAAGTTGATTATGTATGCATGGATGTTTCTTTGGGGGTGGGGGGAGCTTTCAATCTGTTTCATTGGTCTATGTATTTGTTTTTATGCTAATACCATACTGTTTTTATGATTATAGTTTTGTAATATAGTTTGAAATCAGGAAATGTGATGCCTTCAGCTTTTTTTTTTTTCTTTCTCAAGATTGCTTTGACTTTAAGCTCTTTTGTGGTTCCATATAAATTTTTAGGATTGTTTTTCTGTATCTGTGAAACATGCTATTGGAATTTTTTAAAATATATTTTTATTGATTTCAGAGAGGAAGAAAGAGGGAGAGAGAGATAAAAACATCAATGATGAGAGAGAATCATTGATTGGCTGCCTCCTGCACCCCCCACACTGGGGATCGAGCCCACAACCTAGGCATGTGCCCTGACTGGGAATCGAACGGTGACTTCCTGGTTCATGGGTTGATGCTCAAGCACTGAGCCACACTGATTGGGTGCTATTGGAATTTTTATAAGGATGTTATTGAGTTTATACATTGCTTTGAGTAGTATTAATTCTTCTCATCCATGAGCATGCGGATATCTTTCCATTTATTTGTATCTACTTCTTTTTTAAAATATGTTTTTATTGATTTTTTTAGAAAGAGGAAAGGAAAGAAACATTGATGAGAGAGGAACATCATCAATTGACTGCCTCCTGGCCGCACCCTCACTGGGGATCGAGCCTGCAACCTGGGCATTTTCCCTAACCAGGAATTGAACCAACAATATGTTGTTCCTGAGTTGATGCTCAACCACTGGGCCACACTGGCTGGGCTTCAATTTCTTTCTTATAGTTTTCAGTGTACAGATCTTTCATTGCCTTAGTTAAATTTATTTCTTAGTGTTTTATTGTGTTTGATTCTATTGCAAATGAGATGGTTTTCTTAATTTCTTGTTCAGATACCTGCAACTTGACTAAATTTATTGATTTGTTCTAAGAGTTTTTGAAATGTGAATATCTGTGGAATGTTTTGAAGCTCCACCTTTGAAAATATGCCATTTCCACTGTTAAAATAAAGAATAAATTACATAATGTTGTATGCTCATAAAATAAATGACAGATAATAAGATAAAGTGAGTTTAAGACCTGTATTAATCTATTATTGGTGTCCTGTCCATTCTGTATAGTCAGTTAAGCTTTCACCAGGACAATACAATGTACTTCCTCCACCAGTTCCCAAGTATCCTTCCAGGTAATTATACACTTATTAAGTTACCTTTAATCATTTACTAATGCCTTTCTATATATAGACTTAACAATCAATACTAATGGCTTTTAAACCTCATTTATGCCCATTATGATTAGCATTCTTAAATATTTAATGAGAGATAGGGAATAAATTAACAAAGATCCTCACATTAAAAAATAAATTTAGGAAATCATATCTATTTTTTTAATATAGGAGCTTCGTATTTCGTTCTACAGTTCAAAGATTTCCATCAGCCTATTTCATTCCTGTAAGTACATTGTAGACATTTAACTCATGGTGAATTTGATGTTTAAAATATGCAATGATTCCTTTTGATATATCAAGATTAACATTTTGCTCATTGGAGTAGATAAGCAATGAATGATTATATCATTGATTTTAAATATACATAAAGTATATCCGAAGCAATGCTAGGGATTTCAAATGTAAGTTAGCTATTTGTGTCAATTTACTTTTTTAGATCTTCACTCACATCACCTCAGTGAGGTCATCCCTAGTCTCCTGTTCAGAATTTCCTGTCCCCTTCCTCTATTTATTTTTCTCCATAGCACTCATCACTGGCTGGTACACTGACTACATTAAAGTTTGACCTATCCTGTTTTTATCTGTCTCCCTTACTAGAATGTAAGTTTCATGAAGGTGGGGATAGTTGTTTGTTTTTGTCCTGTATACCCAGTACCTAGAAAAATGACTGACACCTAGTATTTGTTGAGTTAACTAAGTAATAAAGCTCATTCTATTAGCAACAAAAAGAAAAAGTATCTCTAGGTTCTTTTCTTTAAAAAATGTGAAAATGTTTTCTTGTTTCTAAAAATTTCCAAATACATATACATGAATTATGATAAAAATGAACTCTTTTAGCTAAGTAACCAGTAGAATGCCAAAAAATAAATAATTATAAAAACTTTAGAAAGATAAGAAAATGTGAAATTGTTTTGAAACAATGTGATGGACTATAGCTATTTATTTGTAACTAGAAACTTGGGGGTAGGGGGAAGAGGCATAGAGAAAACATCTGAAAAAGTAATTAAGATAACTGAACCAAGCTCAGAAACAGACACTAGGATATAGAAGACTTATATATTTGAGAAAGATGATAGGAGAAATCCATAGGGAAAGGAAGAGACATTTTGTGTTAGACAATTGTTAAATGACTTGGAAAAAACATGTTAGAGTCTTTCTACCACATATTAAAATAAATTCCATATTGATTAAATAATTAAATAATTGTGAAACCATAAAACCAGGAGAAAATATATGAGCATATATCTAATTTTAGGATAAGGCAGATTTTCTGACATAATAGCATGGATGAAGTACAAAGGAAAAGAAATATATCAGATTATATAACATTTTAATATATTTGTTATATATTTTAGAAAACAAACTGTAAACAAGTTAATAGGTAAATGCCAATTAGAAGTTATGTTCAACATGCATGGCAGATAAAGAGTTACTGGTGACCTTATCTAAAATTCTCTTAATCTCTGGGAAAAACACCAGTAGATTGTAAAACAGATAAAGCCACAAATAGATAATTCATAAAGCAAGAAACTCAGATATCCAACAAAGGTAACAAAGTTTTGATGTCACTAACACTAAAGTATGAGAAACTAAAAGGCTGATTGAAAACTTGCTGTATGTGGGTGGTGTGATGGACTAAATAATGGCTCCCAAAGATGTCCAAATCCCCAGAATCTGTGAATATTACCGTATAGGGCAGAAACTTTGCAGATATGATTATGTTAAGGATCTTGAGATAGAGAAATTATCCTGATTATCTCGTGGGCCCTAAATGCAATCACAAGTATCCTTATAAAAGGTAGGCAGAGGGAGATTTGAGGAAAGAGAAGAAAGCAATGTGACCATGGAGGCAGAGATTGACGTGATGTGGCTACAAGCCAAGGAAGGCAGCCGCCACCAGAAACTAGAAGAGGCAGAGAATGGATTCTCCCCTGGAGTCTCCAGAGGTAACAAGGCCCTGCCACACCTTGCCTTTGGCCCAGGGAAACTGATTTTGGATATCTGGCCTCCAGAACTTTGAGAGAATAAAATTCTGTTGTTTTAAGCCACCAGATAGATGGTAATTTGTTGCAGCAACCACCAGAAACTAATAAGGTGGGGATTGTTTCCAGGTGGATTTCACAGTAGATGGATGTGATGAGGACCTGGCTTTTAATTTTGGTAGACCAAATTGCTTATGTCTGTAGGCCTTTTCTCTTGGACCCATCAGTTGCTTCAAAATGACTCCTTAGCCGCCTGCCTGAGGTGTAAGCCAGTTGCCAGTTCTCACCATTTGTAAGGTTTCGTTCACTCAATTCCTGTCTTCAGTAAAGGCCCCTGTCCTCACAGTGCCTGGGGCTCCTGAGTCCAGATCTCTGGCACAGTCTCCCCATAAATGAAACCTTCTGTTTCCTACAGGGATGTGGGATGGGTAACTACCTGACTGCTGGGGATGAGGTAGAGGGACTTGGGAGAAGACGATCAACAAATCCTGTTTTCAGCTCCACGCTCACCTCCATCTCACAGGTGCCTGATGCCTAAAATTTCTGAGCTTCTTTTAGGTTCTGCGGAGCAAATCAGCCTGCTCCACGTCAGGTTCTATTCCTCCTAACTGCTTCACACCTTCGAAAATATGTTATCTCTGTTGGCCATTGTCTCTTCTCTTGGCTCTCTGTGTGTGTACATGTGTGTACAGGTGTGTATGTGTGTGGGGAAGGAGATAGTTACAAATGCACTGTGCAGTCGGCTTTGGCAGCAAGCAGTTGAGACACCAGTTTTTCCCCCACTGGGTGGTATTGTAGTTCCTTTGAATTACACATTTTAAATGGATGCCATGAGTTAATAAGGATGTGTTTATACTCTTCGTAAAGAGAAATGCAATTAAAACAATTTATTAACAAGTTAGGTTAGGCATCCTGCAAGATAAGCGGCCTGGTTTGGGAAATGGCATAAGGCAATGGATTCTGACAAGTTTTGCCTTTGTACTCATTGCTTTTATGGAGGATAAGATTTTGGGGGGAAATGGAGATCACCATTTTCATTGCTATCACCTCATCCATTCCATTTTATGTATAAAAGTGATTCACTGATTTGGAACATCCTGTCCTTCAACCAGGTGAAAAGATTACTAAAATATTCTAAGATAAAGAAGTAGCCCAGGGCTGTGATTCATGTCTGTCCTAAACATGCATTCCCAGAGCAGACTTACGGGTTTGGTTTAGAGCCACAAATTTGTAAACTCAGAGAGTAAACTCCTTCGACCCCAGCAGTGGGAGATGTGCTTGTTCTTGAGATAAATGCACTAATCCTTAGGCCATTATAAGCCTTTATCTGAAAAACTCATTTGATTGACTTTATCATTCAGTTTAATGGTTTTAAAAATTAAAATCATAGTCACAGAACTGTTAAGGGCTCTTAGAACCGAAAGAAACTTTATAAATCTACTACTACTGCTGAGGTCGGCTTGAACGATAATGCATCGAGTGTTTTCTGGTGCCTGGCACGGTGGTCTGTGACAGACATATCCTGTTTCATTTAATTCTCACAGCAACTTGATGGGGTGGTATTTATTATCTCTATTTGATAAATTAGGAAATGGAAGTTAATTGTCTGAGTTCACACAGTTATTAGGAGGTATAGAGGGAGGCAGGATAGTACGAAGCTAGGAAAACTTCTTGGCAAGTGGAATGGGGAAAATGAGACAGCTTAACAAACTGACTGAGCAATTTACAGCCAGATACCCCCGTAGGGATAACATCTAGGCCTCAGTTGTATTTCAGCTCTAGGCCCAGAAAAGTAGCAAAACCAGGTGGGCGACTCTAGGACCAACTGCAATGACCAATGACCCCCAGCGCTGGTGCTGACCAATCAGTAGAGCATATGAGCCTGAAAGAGCACACCTGGAAAACTGATGAATATTCTGCTGAAAGCCTCCGTTGAGACCTCCCCTAAGATTCCCACTTGCAAGGGAGAGATAAAAACCCTAAAGACAAAAAACCCAGTGCTCACTTTCCCTCCCGGGAGCACACCCATGCCTTTGCTCTGGCCCATCTTCTTCCCCCACAAACACGCATCTCCTAAACTCTTAGGGACCCCACAAGACTTGTAACCAGGGAAGCAGCAGCAGCTCGCCCTGGACTAATCCCCTGACCCTATCCCCAGGGCTCTTTTCTCTGACTTCCCAGTGAGCTAAAGCAGCCCAACTTAGGCTCTCCTGTTGCTTCTTCTATGCTAAGGCCTTCTTTGTTTCACTGTCCCCAACTTTAATAAATGTACCCTCAAAGTCACTTGGACTTGTCATATGAAATCTTTCCTGCACAAAGTCAAGAACCCACACACTACCTGCCGACCCTTGGCAAACCAGCTCAGGGCCAGATCCCCTGAACTGTAACAGGCCCACTGTACAGCAGGCTGAGAGAGAAAACAATCCACACTAAGAAAGAAACTGGAAGAACTCCAGAAAGAATGTTCCTACAAGAAAAAGCACTCAAGAACAATTAAGAAAATATGTATAGTAAAATATGCAAGTGAAAAAACAAGTCACCAATTAACTCCAGGTAAAACAAAAGACTCTCCAAACAAGAAATCATGTTATGTATGTTGGCTCTGCAAGGAATAACAGTTATTTAGGAAACATTGATTTAAAATGTACTTTTTGATTGGATGAGCAGGAGAAAGAGCGAGAGATATTTCTTCATTTATTCTAAGAAGTCATCAATAGATAATGGCTAAAATGTCAACTAAGAAATAACAAAATGCACATACTATTTAGTGATAAGAAAATAATTGTCAGAAGAATAGCCAAGACTTAAAAATAGTTGTCTTAGGCTATTTAGAGCCTATTCAAAGACATGTGTGCCTAAGACATGTGTATGAAAGATGTTTCTAAGAGTGCTAGTTTTGTAAATGAATCAGTCTAGTTTATTCTAATGAATACTGTGCTGCATGTATGCTCTTAAAAATATCAAACAGCTCTGGCCAGTGTGGCTCAGTTGGTTGGTCCAACTGAGCTCCAACCAACTGAGCTACATTGGTCAGGACTTGACATTTTTTTTTAAAAATATATTTTAATGATTTTTCACAGAGAGGAAGGGAGAGAGACAGAGAGCTAGAAACATCGATGAGAGAGAAACATCGATTAGCTGCCTCCTGCACATCCCCCACTGGGGATGTGCCCGCAACCCAGGTACATGCCCCCGACCGGAATCGAACCTGGGACCCTTCAGTCCGCAGGCCGACGCTCTA